CTTTAAGAAGTAATAAGGTGCTAGTATTGGTGGCTCGTGCCTGTAATCCCAGCTACTCAGAGGGCTGAGATCTAAGGATCATGGTTTAAAGCCAGCCCAGTCAGGAAACTCCATGAGATTATCTCCAATTAACCACCAGAAAACTGGAAGTGGAGCTATGGCTCAAAGTGGGAGAGCTGAGGGACAGCACTCAGGCCCTGTATTTGAGCCCCATGACTGACAAAAGAGAGAGGGAGAAAGTGAGGGAGAAGGAAGGAGGGGGAGAGGTAATAAGGTCAGGAAGGTGCTGTTCCCATGGGTTGGTTAGTCCAGTTGTAGGTTAGTGAATGAATGGGTTTTCTGGAGAGTGTGTTATGAAAGCCAGTGTGACTCTGTCCCTTTTTTGTATCACATTTCACCGTGTGATACTCTGTGCCATCTTGGGACCTTGTAGAATTCCTACCAGCAAGATGGTCCTTGCCAGATGTGGAGCCTTGACCTTGGACCTGCAAGTCTCTAGAATAATAAGTGAATCAGCTTTTATTCTTTTTTATTAGCATGCATTAGTGTGACATTTCCATATACATACACATATACAATTTATTCTCATCAAGCTCATCCCCTTTCTCACTCTCAAACCTTTATTCTCTTTAAATTACCTAGTCGATCATAGTGAGCTACAGCTACAGAAAATAGATTAAATCATGTTTAGAAGAATGGCATAAAAACTAGAAAGGCAGGGGCTGGGAAGGTGGCTCAGTGGTAGAGCGCTTGCCTTGCATGCATGAGGCCCTGGGTTCGATTCCTCAGCACCACATAAGCAAAAAGAAAAAAGCCGGAAGTGGCACTGTGGCTCAAGTGGTAGAGCACTAGCCTTGAGCTGAAGAGTGAGGGACAGCGCCCAGGCCCAGAGTTCAGGCCCCACAACCGGCCCCAAAAAAAAAAAAAAAAAAAACTAGAAAGGCATCAATTCAAAACAGGTATGTTAGGCTGAGCATTCTGAACTTTAAAGGGAATGGAAAATTATCAGTTGTGGAAAATCATCAAAGAATTAAGTGGAAGAGCTGGAAGTGTAGTTCAAATAGCAGAGCACTTGCCTAACTGACTTGAGGCTCTAAGTTCAAATTCCAGTACTGCAAACAAACAACCAGTTAAGTGGAGAGAAGTAAGCGCGAAAGTTGCATGTTTACCTCTACACTTTAGATCATTTCTGACTGTTGAGAGAGGATAGATAGGAGAGGAAAATTGGAAGTATGGCAACCAGTTAGGAAGAAAGAAGGTTCATTTAGAGGAGGAGGATGGTTTGGACCACAGCAATAGGACTAAGCATGGAGAAATTTGCATATGCTTAATAAATACTCAGGAGGTACAATTCAGAGACATCAATAATCAACTGATTGATTAGCTATGGAATTGTGAAAAAAGATGACTTCTAGATTTTTTTTGCTTGAGCAGATAAAAAAATGTCAGAAATAATCACTCATGTACAGATGGCTCACCAAAACATTTGTCCTTCCAAGCTCATTGAGCAAGAAGATAATGTATTTAAGGAAAAGATCTTCAGGTAACCAGGGGGACACAGAGAATGAGAAGAATCTAGCTAAGGAACAGAATGGAAGATGCTCAGTTCACATGGAAATACTCTTGTTAATGCTTTTGTATGTCTTCCTATGTTCATTAACTACTCCTACATCTGCAACACTTCAAACCAAAGAGGAATCAACCTGTGCCCTCACCCATCCCTACTCTACTGTTATTTCTTCCCCCTTCCAGTATTACCTATGGCATAAAAGCAATTAATAGCCTACGAATCATCTTGGATGTGGTGCATTGTTCTGACCAACGTGGGTTCCTTTGAGGCAGCAATCTGTTAAAATGATCACATTGGAACTATCAGGAAATATGGATTAAAGAAAATCTGCCCAGATTTTCCTTTTTTT